TGTGCGCCAGGCGCGTCGCAGCGTAACAGTGTTTCGTGAGATATCGCGAAGCCTGTTACGCGAGACGTGGTCTGGCGTACATATAGCTAGTATACTTCAATAACTAACCAGCATGTGGATACTTACTGCGCTCTTCTTTCTCAGGAACGACACTAATGACAGTGATCTTTCTGAATCTGTTGAAGAATTAGATGGTGACTTGACTGCTCATTGGCTGAGCGATAGCGAAGCCTACTACTTCAGTGATGATCAAAAAGTTTCGTGTCTGTCTGTCTGTAATCACGATAACTCGAGAACGGGTGGAGGTAGGTACCTGAAATTTTTAGCGTAGCTTTGAAGCATAAAAAGCAAGACCTGTATTGATTTTGAGCCCTCTTGCTTAAAAATTGACCTGTCAAGAAAATCAAAAACGAAAACCCCAAAATGTTACTTCTATTTTTTATTTTTTTTACATCTTGCTAAGACGTAACTCGTCAAAGTAGACCCCTCTGGGCCAAAATTTTGACCGTTTTGCTCTGTCTCTTAGCGTTTGGGTGCCAGAGGGCGTTTTCCACACGAAAATGACCCCAAAACATTTTTATGTTTTTTCGCAGATATTTTATGGTCTCCGGTGAGGCACCACGTCAAATTAAAACCCTGAGGGGCAATATTTGAGACTTTTGAGGCCAAAGGCCTATTTACGACTCTGCCTTTTGCCCGACTCCGGTGTCAGCGCCACAGGCCTAGGTAGATGTATGCCGTACATCTACCTAGTTAGTTTTAATGTATTCATCGTTTATCTTCCCGACGCAAAAAGATTTGTTTGTTTTTGTTACGCTTCCGGTACGCTATCGGTTCGCGGAGGGTCGCGCTCGGTGCGCCGATGGGTCGCCGAGGTTCGTCAGGCTCCTGGGCGACGTATCGTCAATATTCGCCGGAGGTTCGCGCCGGAGCGACCTTTGTCCGTCATCGAGTCGCTCCATGCGCGGACGAGCGACCTGAGTATGTTTTCAAGTCGCGCCGAGACGAACAGAGCGACCCCAGTACGCTTTCGGTTCACCTGGAGAGCCCCGGGTAGTCGGGGTATTTTCCTTTCCAGGAAACCCCGGTCGGGGGCTAGCGCTAATCCCTAGGCCGGCGCACTTAAGAGCAGAAGAGGGGACGATGGGGCGGCCCCGGGACACCCGGAGCCCGACGGCTCCTCTCCTCTGCACTGCACACTTTGGCTGCTGGACACAACGACTACGTTGGTCTACATACGGGTTGAAGTCGCAGAGAGAACGCACTCGTAGAGAGAGGACGCATACCTCCGTACAACTATGCACATACGTAATGTACGCACAATTTTAAGCGATATTTTGCATAATTACGTACAATGTTGTATAGTTACGTACAAATTTTGTACGTAGGTTATGTATGTCGACAGTTGTACGTAGGTTATGTATGTCGACAGTTGTACGTACCAACGCACAAAACAGTACATTAAAAACGGAAATTTACTCTGCCGTCGGCTGCCAGCCGAGCTGTTAGGCTGGTCCAACATCGAGGTCAATCTCATGGAGTTTGTGGAACGGTATAAAATTTGAAAGAACAAAAACAATTTTGAATTTCTGTGCAAACGCGAACGTCCTGCGATGTCGGGAAGTGCTCGTACCTTGCAGTCAAAGACTTCGGCCCGACCGGCGGTAGAGTAATTTTCAGTTTTGTCAGATTTTGGACATGTTGTGGGTGGGGCGGGCTGGCACGGGTGACGGGTTCTTGTTGGTGGGCATGTCGCCAAGCAGTATGCGAAACAAAAATGTCAAAAATGTGAACCAAAATTTTGTAGGGCCTAAGTGCGCTATGGCGGACGTCCGTCGATCTGTAGGGCGAACGACATGTCGCCCGAAGTTCGGCGATACACCGTTGGAAAGAGCACATCTTAGAGAACACTTGTGGTTAATATCGCTTACCTAGCTCCACGCGTCGCCGCCCGAGCGCCGCCACGCATTTGAACCCCCAATCGGGCCGAAAGCTATGACCGCGAGGTGCGAGCACTTCCCGACATCGCAGGACGTTCGCGTTTGCACCAAAATTCGTCATATTTTATGCTCTTTCAAATTTCACACCGTTCCAAAAAATCCGTGAGCTGGACCCCAATTTTGGTCCGGGCTATTGACGGCCTGGAGGCCCGAATCTTTGAGTACATTTTTGCGCTACCCGACTCGGGTGTCAGCGCCGCAGGCCAAGGTAGATATATGCCAGGCGCGTCGCAGCGTAACAGTGTTTCGTGAGATATCGCGAAGCCTGTTACGCGAGACGTGGTCTGGCGTACATCTACCTTGTTAAATGTTCGAATTTTGACAGATCGTTATGTAAAAATCAAGGTTTTAGTGATACTAGACAATCTAGGGACCCTTAAGCCCAAAACAGGGTGTGTTGCGACCCCGGTGTGGTTAAAGTATTACTCCCTTTACAATTCAGTGACATGAAGCCTTTTTAACGATTTAATAGACCATTTTGTCTTTTTCGTGTTATTTTCGCCAAGAAATGCCCAATAGCGCCGAAACGGTACAAGATAGAGCGAAACGGACGAAATTTTCAGCCGTAGGATTCTACTTTAACGAGTTACCCCTTAGGAGCCCATAAACAAATATTTAAAGAATATAATATTTTGCAGCCTGCGGTTTTTTTTTAAGTCAATTTTTGAGCTAGAATGCTCATCTTCGAAGTCAATCTGTCTTTTTATGATAAAAAACGACCCTGAAATTCCCAGATCGCTCTCTCAATTCTTTCTCGAGTTATCGTGCGGACAGATTGACAGACAGACAGACAGAATGAAACTTTTCCGGTCAGTGGAGTAATGGGCTTCGCTAATCGCTCAGCCAATAACGGCTATGACACGTGCATTTTGAGGGATTACACCTGAATTTCATCGATTTTCTGGGCCTAAAACCATTAAATTTGGATAGTACACAGGGACCAGGGACCTGCGTAGGGCGGGCGGCATTGGGCACCTCTCAGCGAGCGCTTTACGTCGGCGAAGTGCCCGTGCGATCCAAGCCCTACTAGCTATATGTACGCCAGACCACGTCTCGCGTAACAGGCTTCGCGATATCTCACGAAACACTGTTACGCTGCGACGCGCCTGGCGCACATATAGCTAGGCCTGCGGCGCTGACACCCGAGACGGGGTAATAGGAGTGTATATACAATTTTTCGAAATGAAGTCTTTTAAATGATTTAATCGACCATTTGATCATTTTCGGCTCATTTTTGTCAAGAAATACCCCCTAGCACCTAAACGGTACAAGATAGAGCCAAACGGACGAAATTTAAGCCCGAAGGGCTCTACTTTGACAAGTTACCCCTTAGGAACCCATAAAAAATATTGTGATAAAAATTCATTTTGCGACCTGTAGTTTTTGATTTTTTTAAAAAGCCAATTTTTGAGCTAGAATGCTCATCTTCGAACTCGATCTGTCTTTTTATGGTACAAAACGACCCCTAAATTCCCAGATCGCTATCTCAATCCATTCTCGAGTTATCGTGCGGACAGACAAACACACAAACAAACAAACAAACCCACAAACAGAATGAAACTTTTTCGGTCAGTGGAGTAATGGGCTTCGCTAATCGCTCAGCCAATCACCGCAACGGCCGGCCAAACGACGGGCGCCTCCGGGCACCTCGGAGGCGGCGAAACGCGTTGGTGCGAGAGAGACGCACAGCTAGCGGGCAGCATGAGCCCACGGGCACATCGCTACCCGCTGGGCAGGGCAGGGCCGGGCGCTCCGGGCGGGCACTGGTCATTATCTTCATGCGTGCAGAGCGAGGTGCCCGGATAGTGCAAGCCCTACGCAGGTCCCTGCACTGCAAAAAATTAGAGGTGAATGACGGGGACATTACGCCTTGGTTTTGGTACGGAATGCTACAGTGAGGTCGTTAACTAATGATCAGGTCTTGCCGTAGGGAATTTTACTACGGTGAGTCCATTCATTCACACCGTATGTGAGATGGATACAAAAACAAGTTGCAGATTCATACGGGTGAAGCGTTCAATAACCGTAACCTGCCCATTGGGTTGGGATATAAACGGGAAAGCCGTAAACACCAATCAGAAAAGGCGTAGAGAAGCCAAAAGAGATATGGTACTCTAATTTTGAATATCTATCAATGGCTAATAATAGAACTGTTTCAATAGTATATTCAACAAGCACCTTACTATATTTTACTTGGTTGGAGATGAGAGAAAATGTTGAATAATTTCAGAGACATAACCCATCAGATGGATAAATAGAATTATATCTGAAGACTGGGGCATAACAGTGAAGAGGTCTCATTTCATTCAACCTTTAAATCTCATCAGACAGAATGAAACAATGGCAATGCGAGTGAAACACTAACCTCAGTGAACTCAACCAACAAAGCTCCGAAACATGAAATAGAAAATGACAGTCGAATTCAACGAGGCCAATAAAAACTCACCATTTTCAATGGTTATCTGAAGTCTGTTTGGTTCTTTCAATCCACATCTTTTAACTGGAACTTTATGCTACATAATCGCACATTTCAAAGCAAGTCAACACAACATCACACACACACACACACACAAACTTAGATAGATTTAATCGAGAATCGAGATCAGATCGAGATATTTTCGAGCGCGACCCAACAACCGAAGAAAGGTTGGTACACACAACTAGTTGTTGTTGTTATTGTCGTTGCTTTCAGCGTCTGCTAGGCCTGCTCACTGTTGCTAAGTTAGTTATTACAATTACTGCTCTCTTTATTGTTTTTATTTTCATTTCAAGGACGTTTACTGTGGTTGATTTATTTTAAAATAATTTTGGAACGCAGTGACGTTTATAATTGAAAAACATTGCTTTACTTACTATC